TCTCTCTCTCTCTCTCTCTCTCTCTCTCTCTCTCTCTCTCTCTCTCTCTCTTTCTCTCTCGCGCTCTCCCTCGATTATACTTTGCTAAATCGTGCATGCGTTTCACACCGCGAAATGGTATCGCGCGCCCGCGCGCACGCTACGGCTCCTTGTCGTTGCAAAACGTGGATTTTGACTCGCCATTTTACTTTTACAGTCCATCTTTTCATGGATATTTACAAATGTCAGATACTTACATAGTTTCTTTTCGTAATTATCATTTTGTCTTTTAACAAGTGTTTTGCTGCAAACTTTTTCCTCTTTCTCTCAACGATTTTTCCATTGAGCCATTCGAGATTGTTTTCTATATGTAGTAATTTTATATATAATGCTTGCAACTATTGTAATAATTTGTCAAATAATTTGTCGACGATGAGTTTAGGTAGTTATAGTTGTTGAGAAAGTACAATGTAAATGACGTTACAGGAGCCCAATGTGGGTGGAAGTGAGATGGCATCCAGGGAAAAGAAACCCTTAGCGCCTTCCAAATCGAAACAGAAGGCGAGTAACGATTCCGTCTTGCCATCCAATGAGGTCAAGAATAAGAAAGGCAAGTCATTGCTGAATGTAAAACAGCAGCTTGCAGCACAAGAGATTTTTGATACAGTAGCGACAGGTAGTCAACTTCCTGTAAAACTAGAGGCGAGCTTACCGCGTAGGAATGCTCTTAAAAATCTGAAACGCAAACAGAATCTAAGAGCAACTAAGACAAATCTTATCAAGTCCAAGGTTACCAAGAAAGTGACCAACAAGGATATACACAGGATAGCTCCTGACGTTAAGAAAGGTGCCAAGGGTGCAAAGAAAGTTCGACAGCCAGAAGATTCGACAGCTAAGACAGCAGATACCGCTCCGAAATTTTCAGAAAATCAGACAAACAACGGGGACAACGAAGGCAAAGGAACTGAAACACCAAGTAAAAGTGCCAAGAGTAATCTCAGGACCAAAAAAACCAAATCTGACGTTCAAAATAAGGAAGAAGCCAGTGCTACGTCAAGTACTAAAGTCAGTCCAAAACTTGGCAAAAAAGGAAAGACAACGGAAAGTCCAGATTCTTTGACTAAGAGTGCCAAAACGGTCAAGTTAACGAACTTGAAGAAGAATAGTACCAGTCTTGTAAAAGTTGCAGAGACTGATAATAAGAGTGGAAAAAATCGGAAGAACACTGGTAAGGAATTAGATTGCGGTGCTAGTGCAAGAAGCAGTGTTGAAAAATTTCCAAAGACGATTTTAGATAACAAGAATTCTATCGATCTTACCATAGACGAAGTTATTGCTTCAATGTTAAGCGACTCCGAAAACCAACAAAGCGTTACAGAGAAAACTGAAGGAAAGGTGAAAAGGAATAAGAAAATGTTGGTGGATGAAAATATTGCCTGCGACATCGAGATCAAGAAAGAACCTGACACCGACGACACCAAAGGTACATCGGACGGCGAGTCCGTAGAAGCGGATCAAGGACTTCAGAATGCCATTCAGTTGAGAAAAAGATCGAAAGTTGGCTATATTGAGCAACCGTCTCAAAGAAGTTTACGAAATGGAAAGCAGCGTCAATTGTCAGATTTGGGAAATTCTACAGATAACGATCCTAAAAAGCGGCACAGGCTAAATTCGGATGGAACTGTTATCTCAGATAATTTGATCGAACATGCCTCGGATTGTAATATAAATAACGACTCTTGCTTTTCGGATCCCGGTTGTAATGAATCTCAAAATACTGCAGCATCGAGCAAAGAGGAGATTTGTTCCAAGGATGAAGCGTTTAATTTTGAGGAAGACGTTGAGACTGGTTCAGAAATAGAAAACAACAATAACAGCGATCGCACAGACAGGACAGGCGAGACTGGACCGACACTTCGTTCTAAAACTAAAGCTAAAACTACAGAATGCGAAGCAACGAAAGACGATGACATTAAAATCGAAGATGTGCGAATAATGCCGAGATGTACGGAAACGCAAGAAGATTCAAAGAAACTTAATAATTTTGAGCAAGTGAAGAGAGACAATATTTTAGCCAAATTCACAGATAAATCTAGAGGTCGCAGAAGTAGTTTAAACATAGACATGAAAAAAACAGTCAATTCCTTTTACAGCACAGATAAATCAGATGGTAACTCAAAATCGCAAATAGATCAAATGATTGAAGACATTAAATTAAATATAGCAAAATCCATTGAAAATAAAATCTTTGGTCCGGAAAAAGGTCTTGGATTAAGTAAAAACTTTGACGTGCCCAAGATTGAAGAAATTGTCGCACCACTCAGTACAGAGTCTCAGAAAATGGGACTGGAGGACAATACTGACGAGGATAAGTCCACAGTTACGAAAAATGAAATCACGTCAGAAAATTCAGAAAATTCAGTACCAAAAGTGGCCGACACTGCCAAAGAGATTGAAGAGAAACTAGTCAAGTTTGATATTGGAGAAGCAGAAACACATTCGCAGAATGTTCAAGAAAACAAATCCTCCGATAACGATGGAATTAATGACGTACGTAGTAATTGCGAGTCTACATGTAATATAAATAATAGTAATACTGCAGAACAATCTTACAAGAATGTAGATGAGCCAGAAAAAGAAAACGTTAGTTGCAGTACAACCAGTGGCGCCAATGTCAGTAACACTGAGTCGAAGATATTAGACGAGAACAAGAAGATTACGAGAAAATCTTCAAGAATCAATGATAAAAATTTTACTGACAATGTCAGTAATAATGAAATGAGAAAATCGAATAGGACACCAAATAAACCAATCTCAAGATCGAATAGCATGGAGGATATTGTAGCGGATATACAAAAATCTATAAACGAAGAAACAATTTCAGAGGATCAAATTTTGGATGATAATATTGTGGCTTTAACAGTGTCTCCATCGATTTCTTCTGAACAAACAGAGAAGATATTTATGGAAGAACATTTACAAGTAAAAGGAACAGAGGAATTAGAATCTGAAATCTCTCTGAATGTTACAGATAATTCAGAAGAAGCAGAAACATTAGAAAGTATATCTCGTGAGGTAGAAAGATTAGTAGCGGAAGATCACTCTGCCAAACCATTACCAAATGTTACAAATGACACCATGCGAAATGAAGATACGATGTGTGATACAAAGATATTGGATAAGGAGCAGGAAATTCAAAATAATCAAGAAACATCCGTTTGTCGTAACGAGAGCTCTACACCATTAGAATCGGCTGTCAATAATACAAACGAAACACCAAGCAAAAGTTTAGACGGGAAGTCTACTGACACAACTGAAATATTACGAGACAACGATGCGTCTTGTAAGACGATGCAAAGCGCAAAACGTCCAAAAGTTAACAATAATTTATTACACGTACCAACTATTGTAAACTGTGATTCAAATAGTAGCTCTGTAAATTCTTCATCTGTACATTGCACCTCTGATCGACTAAATATTGAGACCAAGGAGCTCGATCATGATAGTAATTGTAAAGAATTAAATAA